CCCCCCCCCCCCCCTCCTTCATCCCTCACCTTGTGCAGTTCGTGCACCGTGAGAGCTCGTTATCGCGTATCCTCGCGATATTAAAAATCCGGCTCGACGGGACTACGAGGTAACAATTCGCGCGCGACCCCTTCTCGATCTACGCGAGAGCGTATCGAGAAAATTCGTTGCCACGGTTGCGAAGGTGTCATCTGGCGGTGGCTGTCCGTGCATGATTATTCAATTTCTCGAGAAATCGACTGAACCGCCGACGAGTGAATCGTCAACGAGCGAACGCGGGGCGAAGGTGGTCGGCGAAGAAACTGATTAAAAGCTGGATGGCCGTTCGGACGATAAATCACGCCGGGCCGGCGCTCACCCTCGCTCACCGACGATCGTTATGAGATGCAAGAGCAGAGCGAGATACCCCGGTACTTCAGGCAGAATTGCCGAGGCGACAGCCGTGACGGGGCGTCGCGAAGCTGCTCCGACGCTGCTTCACGCCGGGCGTTATTGCGGCGAGCGTTCGAGTGAAACAGAAGAGTTATGTGTGCGTGTGTGCCTGTACGCATCCTTCAAATATTATTATTCCGATATCATTAAATATACGCATTCTCCCTGAATTACATTGTTCCATATTTAGTATCTTGCTATTTTCTCGAGTGATATCGCGGAAATAATTTCACACGGGGGAGGAGCAAAGAATAGAAGTAACTGCGAAAGCAAATATTTGTGTGTCGGGGCGCTGTGAAAGAAACAACTCATATTTTTATTTGAGAAATTTCTGCCGCAATTTCTTTTTCACAAATTGTTGGTCGAGCGAAGCATTCGTTAAAAATAATATTGATAAATACAAGGCGTCTTTCTTTCTTTTTCTCTCTCTCTTTCTCTTTCTACTTAAATTAAATTGACAACCTCGGAGGAAATTTTCCATTTCTCGCGTTTTCCTTTTCTTTTCTTGCGAAAAGCCTGCTCAAAAAATGTTTGACAGAAGCTTACGAGTTCCCGAGTTACGGCGAATGTTTTTAAACGCAAGTTAAAGTCTTGGTGAGCGGTGTTGCGCGTTACAATGCGTCTCCGTGTGCTGATTTAAGAGGTTTACGAGCCGTATGTCCGCGGGATGGTTTTACACGTCGTTCGAGCTATTCGGAAAATGAATTTCACTAGGAAACATCTCGCTCCGCTATTATATCTGTTAGAATGCGCGTAATGTTACAGTGGATGCGTAGTTCCGCGGTGGAGATGCTTGAGATACTGCGACAGAATACCGTATAAGCCTTCGCGTCTCGCGTGGTTGCCGCATCGCCCGCACCGAACTACCGTGTAAACGTAAATTCGCATAAATCGATACTGCGAGCGCGCGCGCGCGCGAAACAAGAAGCGGCCGTATTTTACGCGGGGAGATTGCTCTCGTTTTACGGGAATGTGATTTACGCAGTGAGTGTCAGGTATGCATTAAACGCGCAAATCTGGATCTACAGACCCGGTATTAGCTGCGAATCTCATGAGCGTAATACAAACGCGGTAAACGCCGCGTACACGCCGGCTCCGCTGCTGAAGTAAACAGTGACCTAATTTCCGATCGGAGTTGTTTAGCTCGAGAGAACGTACACGAAATGACTCGGAGTTACTGACCGCCTTTGTGTAATGTTTACACGTGGCCGCGCAAATTTCTATCTGAAATGGTGACCGCGCAACAATACACGAATACATGTTGTAATTCATGGAGTTATTTACGAAAGTGTAATGCAACATTCTTTAACTAAAACTCGGAGATCTGTAGAAATTTCGTTTTGAGAGAGCGAAAACGGTCAGAAAATCATCACGCGACCTAATTTCTATCTAGATCCTAGCGATCCTAATTTGACAGACGGCCGGTATATTTGTCGATGTACAGAGAGTTGCTTCGTGCGAGATTCGCAGCCAATTTTGCGCAAATCTGAATTTTGCACGCCACGATATCCCATGTGCACGAGTTAATGCCATCAGAGCGCTTCGCGCGCACATCCTCGTTGCTGTGCAAGTAATTTCAGATATACGTGTTTACTCGTTAAAAATGTTCCGCAAAAAAATCCCGGCGTATGCCAATATTGGGCACATCATTCGATTCGAATTTTCTTTGATTAAAATAATAGGCAAATCAATAATCAAAATTAATTAATTTTCATAAATAATCATCATAAATAATCACGAATAATTTCATGAGTCGGTAAAAATTATTTATAATTTTATATATTGATTAATTAAAATTTTACTTATTGATTTGTCAGTTATTTAGTTAAAAAAGTTTCTCATTTATTAAATACTCAGTATTGAATACATACTGAGCTCAGTGTTGGCTATTAATCGATAAAAATTTGCTTCGACAAAAGTAGTCGGTAATTTAATAATCAAAATTGATCGTCCTATATAAAATTACAAGTGATTTCATTGATTAATGATTAATTATCAATTAATGTACAATAAATCACATCAACGTTTGATAGTAATTAATTTCATCAGTCGATGAAGTTACTTGCGATTTTGCATATGACGATTGATGAATTGTGGTTACTGATTTGGTGACTTGCCGATTATTTCAGTCGAGGGAAAATTTTATCGATTAACGCCCAACGTTGGCGTATACCGACCTTCGCGTCTCATATGTGTGCGCGCATAGGAGACGCCGCGGGTACAATAAAAACGCAGACGAAGCGCGTTATTGCCTCGGTGATTTGTGTCCGCGATTATACACGTTGGGAGTTAATGCCACGGATATCCAGGACGAATTAAACACCGCGCTTTGCTGATATCGAGCTATTTCAGTAGACGTCGGGTCTTTCCTGCGTGCAATACGGCGTATACTGAAGCTACGCGCGAATTAACGGGAGTCCTTCAGCTTCGATAATTCGCCTGCTTGCATCGCACCCCCTTTTTTCTCCCTGCTGTCGCCGGCGTTATATCGGTGTATTATACGCACTCGTGCATATTCGAAACGCAAAGTAGCACAAATTTGTTCCGCTCCGCGTGGCTCCGACTTCACGATTTGCGCAGCCTCACCCCGCATGAAATATCTGCCTACTCCCTCTCGTCGTTCTCTTTCGCGGATGTCTTAAAACAACCCCCCTCTCGTGTTCAGCGGCGTAGCTGGAGTTTTTTGCTTCGCGTAGTGGCAGCTAGCGAGAGCTCTCCTTCATTTTTATGAACATCTTAAAGAAGAGAAGGCAGTTCTGTGAGTTGCGAAATAGAAATGTCAGGTCGTGAGACAAGCGAACAGCTTTTTCAGAAAATTACGAAAAATTCGGGTAATTCGTACAGCGTGATTTCAGCAATATTTCATTGGTATTCAAGATACGGGCGCAACGCAAAGCAACTAAATGGTTCATTCACGAACGTAATTAAAGGTCTAATTTCACGGATCATGAATCGAATGAATAGTATTTTTCGGACAGTTTTACGTGATGCACTTTACGTTGCAGTAACCGCAGATAAACGTGCGGATTAAAATAAGCGAATGCGGCGAATCTAATCCGACGCGGCTCCAAAGTTTCTCCCGATATATCGCTATCGTCGTTATCGCTTTTATATCCGACGTTGTTTATCTCGATAAGCTCAGGGTGTGTTTTGGCGGCTCCGTTCCGTGGCTCTCGTATCCCGGAATAAAGCACGCGAACGTACGAAGAATGCAACTCGCTCTCGCGCTGTATCTCGGGTTGCTCCCTTACATTACCCAATAGGAATACCGGTCTCGGGGCGTACAGATGGTGGATAACGTTAACCTCTTACGATACTTAACGCTCTCCCTACGGACCATAATTCCTTAAGACGCCATTTCCCAGTTACGTCCTGTTCCGACTAAGCCCGCCCGGCTAGAGGACGTTGCCTTACGCAATCATCGCCGCTGGTAGAATTTCTCTCGGGAGAAGATACGTGGACGTTGGCAGGATTTGGGGAGAAGGTGGACAGGCAGGGGAAGTGCACTAACGCCAGCAGCAAAAGCGAGAAAGAGAGAGAGTGAAAGGATACTTTTCTCAGGAAAGAGGTTTTTTATATGCTTATTTTGAGCAAACACGACTATTCGTCGCGTTTTAGTATTATTGCCTCACATTCCACCGCCGAGAAGACTCTCAAGAAGATTTCGTATAACTTAAAATTTAATTTCTTTTCTTTAATTTAATTTCTTTTTTAGCTCGAAGAAAAAATGAATCGAAGGAACGAACATTTCATGTATTTTTTTTACATTTGTTAATCATGATGAAATGTACACGCGCGAGATTGATGTAGCTTTTCGAATGAATATTTTATTTGTTTCTGATCTCAGGTAAATTTCAGCATCAGAGGATGCTTACTCTTTAAATTTCGATTCAGAATATATTCATAGATTGAAACAACATTCAATGCTTTTCAAATAACATATCTTTGCGTTTTGCGCATGAACAAAAATTATCATGTGTGCATCAGACACGACGGAAGGGTGAAATTATTCGCGATGCATCGCGGATTGATCTCGCTTCGACTGGTTGCGATTCGCTCAACATCGAACTCGACGAAAGTTTCGCGCGCATATCTCCAAGTACTAGTTCGAGAAGAAAAATTAGAAGGGGAAAAAGTAGAAGAAAAAAAGAAAAAGAGATAAAACGCGGGCAGCTCCGTGCAGCCATCGTCGCCACTCCAGCCGCACTCCCCGCGCTCGTTGTCTCCTCGCAGACATGCACCCTCGTTCCACCCTCATTGCGCAAAACCACTTCTTGCCGGGTCGACCGCACCACTTCGGGACGCATCGTGGCCTTTCATCTGATCGTCGAGGCGAGATCGCGGCAAAGGGTTTTCACGACGAGAAGGAAATATTGCGAGAGAATTCCCCTTACGTCGCGGCAGCGCGCCTCATTTGAGCTGCAGCCGGAGGGCGGAATAAAATGCAGGGAAGAAACTCGCAGTGGCGTAGTTAGAACTTTCGGCGATGCTTTCGAACCGTGACTGCTATAATTTCGTCCCCTATTAATCCTGAAACGAGCCGCTTCTGGTAAAAGTGATAGTAATTCAATTTTAGAGCAGTATGAAGCGCGAAGGAGTGAGCGCGGATGACGTTTAGCGCTGATTTCTTGAGCTTATTTTATTTCATTTTTTTTTCAAGTACAGGAAATGCAATAAATCTGGTTGGGGAAGTAAAATGCAAAAGTAAATTGACTCGTTTTGCGTCGATATTAAAAAACAATTTTTTTCGGAATGACAATTACTATTTTTTTTAAAACAGATTATTTGTATGTTGTATATTATTTGTGTTGCGTCGCGTATTATAAAAGCCAGTCGTTTTGTAGTAAAAAGAATAAGCTTTTATTCCGTTTTATAGATAGTTTTCATAGATAGTGCAATTGTTTTATTAACGAGCAAGTTTTTTCCTGCAAAGATATTTAATTAAAAAGTCAACTACGTCCAAAATATGAATCCCCGTTGCAATTTTCTATATAACCTAGGACAACAGAGTATATTTTTTACAGGATTTAAAATACAACTAATACGAACAATTTTTTTCATATTTCTTACGCGAGTTGAGACGTATTCATAAAAAGACCATATATATATTGCGTACGTTTCCGGAAAGATATAAGCGTATTTTTCCTAAGGAAATGAGCACTTTTATACGCGCGAGCCGTCGGTACGCGTTGTGTATGTGCGTGTATACGTTTCTGTGACAATTCGATGTTAGCCGCTGTAAAGATAACTTGTTCCATTTACATGTAAAGCGCCCTGAAAAGTTATATCCGCCGTTTCATTACCGCTATGTTTTATATATGTGCAGTCGTAGTTATAAAAGCAGTCTCGATTCATTAAAAAATAATGCTCCACTACCCAGAGCAATCTACGCAGCAGTATTCTCGGACGAGACGGAACGATCTTTAACACCTCTTCGACATTTAAGACGGAATTTTTCGCCGATCACCGCGTCCCATTGTTCACGTCCGAATGTAGTTAGAATCTCTAACGAACGCTCTATCGATAACTGCATTGGGATAAGAATCCTGAAACTTATCTCTTAAATGTCAATGGATATTCCAGACGACTTTCCGTCTATCTTACATCTGTATCAATAGTTGTTCTTTGAAAGCAAAGTGAGCATTAGTTGATTAAAATTTCCTTCCACTAAAATAATCAGCTATTAATCAATTGTCATATATGTAATCATAAATAATTTTATCGCGACTGATGAAATTAATTATTATAGGATAAACTCGGATAAAATGGCCATACTTTTTTAAAATGCAAAAGAAAAATGCATTTCTTATTGTTATTTCTTAATAGCGTTTGGCACATTACTTCACTGAAGCCTATACATAATACCATCAGAGTTAAAAGGAAAATACTTCAGTGAAATTATTTATTACAAAAATATCAAAACATAAGCATTGGCCATCTTACCTAAATGTTTAAGACAAGATGGCCATAAGGAATAGATGACCTATATATATTTTATGTTCAAGATTCTGTATCTATTATTTTATAAAATAATGAAAAAAATATAATTTGACATATTCATTTTAGTATAGGATATTTAATACATATTATTTGTGGAAAATATAATATACATATAAGATAGAAACCTCTATTACAAAATTTAAGTTTTAAATCCAATTTTTTATCAAAACATATTGCACATAAGATTTAATTACTGTAATATTGAAAATAATTTTTGAAAAATAACGACTTTTGTTTTATAAATATTAGAGTGATAGTGGGTCATTTTACCCAAAATGAAAGCTAGAGTGAAAGACGGTTACAATAGCACTTATAAACAAATAGTGAAAATGAAAATAAAAATGCATATTATATTACAATTTATATATCTACTTTATCTAACATTGATTGCGATAGCTTAACTGTAATTTATTCGACGTTACAGCAAGTTTTAGTGGAAATTTTACAGGTAATCGAAAATAAAAATATAGTATAATATTTATAATCTTGCTATTTCAAAAAATATACGCATATACACTACGATAAATATCGATTATCTTTGTGACTGATTACACAAACGCAACGTTTTGCAATTATTAGAGAAATTACAGCCTATGGCTATCTTTCCGGTATGACAATCATATCCGAGTTTACCCTATTCAATGTACACATCTCGATATTTGATTAATCTTTAGTCGATAATATTGTTTGTGACTATATACATGACAATATTTGGGTTAATTTTGTCTACTAATTTGCTGATTATTTCAATCGATGAAAATTTTAATCAATCATCAGTGCCCAACGCTATTTGAAGCTTGCCTCAAGTGAGACACTCTAATTTGAATTTCGAAATGCGAGTTTTCCAGCTGAATCGTATCTCGCAAATGTAATATCGCATACATTGTATGATTTAAATGAAAAGCTCACGTTTAACTGCAAACTCAAGTCTGAGTCACATGAGACAAATTTCAAATATTAATACGACTATTAATACGAACCTTAATTATCTTAATCCCCACGTGAAAAAATGAAATGTAATCCATCCCACGGTTATACCACTCATGAGGAATACTCATTTTCGCAGTGAACTTTGCTCAGAGCACACATCATTTACATCAGGAAAACGTCACTTTCCTCTCTTCTTTTCGTCAACCTTCTCATTGAGAGAGGACGTTAAATTGAAAACTTGCCTTTCTCTTCCGCTTAATAAATAACCATCAGCGTTATTAACTCGCCTTCATATCTCACCACTTAACATTAACCAGCCACTACTATCGATTTCCATTTATATTACATACGTATCCCCGACTAGACTTCGTCGAGAGCCACGGAGACAAGGATTTGCCACGCGATCATCCCGATTCGACCTGTGGTCTGTTCCTCGCAGCTAAACTAGCTTGCACTCGGCTGGCACTCTTTCTCTCTATTGTATACCAAGTCAAAGATCACACACACCTGTTTTCTTACGAGTCCCGAAAGTGTGCGCTTGTTCAGCTGCAAAGCACAGACCTCTGATCGCACCTCACGACTGTATAATTACAGACGGCGGGGGTGCCGAGGGCGTGGGCGACGCACGGCGGCGAGGACGTACCGGTGTTCGCGATGGGGCCCCTCGCGAGCACCCTGTTCTCCGGCAGCGTCGACCAGAGCTACATCCCGCACGCGATCGCCTACGCCTCCTGCCTGGCCCATCACGCCAGCCGTTGCTCCCGGGATCCCACGAACAACGCCAACGCCAGCGACACAATGAACGCCGTGCCGATAAGCTGTCCCTCGGCGGAGCCCAACAGTGCGGCGATATCCAGCGACGTGATGAACGACCAGGCGCGAAATCCATCCACGAAATCCGCCGCCAGCCCGCGCCGTTCATCGGCTGGTCCATCGTCGTCGTTGCTGCTGCTGCTGCTGCTGCCGCCGTTGCTACTCATGATGTTACCCCGCGCGCCCCCGATCCCTCGGTGTCCCCTCGAAAGGACGAGTTAATGCGGCCCCCTCTTTCGCGTACGAGGTGGAGGGCTCAACCCCCCGTGACGTCGGTGGTACATGACACAGTGGAGGAAGCCGGTCGAAATGGCCGCGGTGCTGGCGACCGTGTAATAAAGGTCGACGCGGTGACCGCAGTGTAAATTTGACGGGACGACCTCGTGAGTGGTCGTCCCGAACGAGCAGTGATCGTTGTGCGTCTCCCGTTGACCCGGCTAAATGGGTCGTTTGCGCAGCGACGTAGGTCGCCACGGGGATGTCGCCGAGAAGAGTGTCTGTCTGTGTGCGTGAAGAACGCGACGTAGTGTGGTAGCCTTCGGGAGAGGCGTCGGCCGCGAGAGAAAAAGAGAGTCGCGAGGGTGATCTAACGGATTCTCCGCGATGAGTTCTTCTCGAAGAGGAGAGGCGTATTTGCATTCCTCGTGAGAACCGACGGCCGACAAATGACGACGGATCGGGTGTTCGTGGACGAGCACCTGTGACGAAAAGAAAACCGAGTGCGCTCACGCGGCGTATCCTTAATCCTCTCATGCATCCTCCCGCTCTGATATCAGGACGATCGATCGATTCTACTTTCCGCCTCGCGTAATAATTTTGTATAATTGATACAAGTTCTTGTTTGAGGTTCGCCTGAAGGTTCTGCGAACTTTGCAGAGAGTTGGATTGCAGACGGAATCTCTCTCGTTATTTCATAACTTTCGCGGAAGGAGATCGTAGAATTTCGTTATATATTCTCGCTCTCGGTTATCGACGCGCTTCGCTTTAAACATTCGCGTTTAATATTGATTATTTAGCGCGAACTTGCTTTTAACAGCGAGCGCTCCTTCATTACTCTCCCACGCGTTTTTCTCGCCGATTGAGACGCGTGATCCTTGCATGAGAGGATTAATTATTCGAGTTATTATCTCGTGCCTCTCCAATCGACTCTGCAAAATATTTCGGGAGCGCCGCTGCTTCTTTCACCGCACAGTGCGAACTTGTTTAATCTCTACGGAATCCAGAATTTCCCGGTGAGAATTGAGATTTCGTTAGAGCGCAAATCTAGCGGTCGAAATTTATGTTCTCTCGAAAAGCTATCGCGAGGATTCTGAGAGTTGTGTTACGTTTGTCGTCAGAGTATAAGTACGAGACGTAAAGAATTCTTCTACTGGAGAGTCTTTTTGGAAAAACCAAGTTTTTTGAGAGAAGCAACTTCGGATTCGCTCGGAAAGTCTGAAAAGAGCGACGACGGTCCCGATACATTCCGTGCACTGCGAATATCCTTTCGCTTATCTCCCAAGTGGTGAGTTGAGTAATTCTCGAGAGTATGTTTCCGCGGGAAACTTCCCGCTACGTGGTGCGGCACGTTACAACGAACCGAGTGATAACACGGCCTCTTACCGATCCCGGTGAACGAGCAAATAGGCCGTAATGCATGAAATAACTCCCGACCCGCGGGAGAGTTCCGAGCATAAACGTAACATGTAAATACATTAAGGACAAAGAGCGGACGGTGTATAAATTGCACGAGACACGTGTCCTCACATCGAATGTAAATTGCAGGTAGGCAACTTAATCACCGAATTTCGCGATAGACCTCACCGCGGAGTGCACGTTGATACCGCCGTTCTGTTCACGCCTAATTGAATTTTGCACTTTGCGTGCGCGTCGTTTGTCGCGAATCACAAGTCTACGCTCACGACGCACGCGTAATCGTTCCCGACAGCTTTCAGTTCGCTTCACGCACGAGTGGTCGAGAGGAAGAGCGACGTGAGTTGACGTTTCACATCTCGAATGTAGCACGCGTGATCTCACGCTCGATCTATGTCATTCTCTCTCTCTCTCTCTTTCTCTCTTACTTGAAGGCTCTTGTGCCGCGAATTGGTTTTCGCGAGAGCCGATTGTCGTCATGACGAGACTCGGGGCGGCGATTAGCCGCGCGACTGACGGCGACAATTAAAGCAAGTCATCACTAATTTCGCAGATTAGCCCGGCGTGGTCGGCGAGGGCTCGTAATTGAATAATCCGTCGCTCGTGTTTTGAAATTCATACGTAATGTATAGGGAGATCACGCCACGCGCGAGAATTGGGAACCACCTGACGGGGCTCATGTATTTGCGACGGGTGTCGAGGGAATCGCAGCGCTGTGGCGTACCGAGAGAGTCCCCTCGGCACTCAATCCTTCAGAATCCGTTCTCGCGCGAAGGACACGTCCGAGGAAGCCTGCCGAGTTTCCATTTCCGTTTTCGACACGGCCGTGCGAATTTTGTGGGACATTCCGCGACCGCTCGCCTCTCTCTCTCTCTCTCTCTCTCTCTCTCTCTCTCTCTCT